CCCTCCTTTCTGTGGAAAAAAAAAAAAAAAAGTAATTTGTGTACTTGAAAATACATTTAAAGCCATAGGCTTGAGGTTCCATGTGTTGATGGGGAAAATGAATACACACATCTGGAAATAACTTTTTCTCGCTTTTTTTTGGTGTACAGTTCTGTGCATTTTAACACATGTATGGATTTGATTTACCAACACTGTGGTCAGGATCAAAAACAATATCATCACCTCCCCAAAATCTCCCTTTTTACTCATAGCCTCCTCCCATTCCTAATCTCAAGAAATCATTGATCTTCATCATTATAGTTTTTACTTTTTGAGAATATAATATAAACACAGTTATTCAATATGTAACATTTTGAGCACAGTGACTTTGAGATTCATTCACAGTGTTGTGTGTAGTTTATTCTTATTGCTAGTAGCATGCTAGTGTGTGGATGTTCCTGCAGTTTATCCATTTGTAGAAGGATATTTGAGTTATTTCTTCTGCTTGCTAGTTATAAAGAGAAGGATCATAAACATTCACTTGAGGGTTTTCAAGTAATTATGAATTTTAATTTTTTTGGGATAAATACCTAGAGGTGCGATAGCTGAATTATATGGCGTGGGTTTAAGTTTATAAGAAGTAGCCAAATTGTTTTTCAGAGTGATTGTGTACCATTTTGCATTCCCATCAATTTCTGGTATTGCCTATGTTTTCTATTTTACCTGCACTGACCATGGTTTTGATTTGTATTTACCTAACACCTAGTGGCTTTGAATATCTTTTCATGTACTTATTAGCTATCTATTATGGTTTATACTTAGATGTCCCCCAAAAGCAACATGTGATCATAGTCAAGACTTTTGAAAGGTGTTGGACTGGGGGCATTGTAGCTGAGCTGCTGTTAGGCAGGATCAGGTGAGATGGGTCACTGTAGCTGTGAACCGGCATGGTTTATCTCCCTCTCCAGCTCCTCCCTTCACTCTCTGCTTCTCGGGTGCCATGAAGTGAGCCGTTATTCCTCCGCTCTGCCTCTGTGCATGCCATCCTGCCTTCAAGCCAGCTGACTATGGACTGAAACCTCTACAAACTGTGAGCCAAAATAAACTCTTTTTCCTCTGAGCTGCCAGTGTTGGGTACTACATCCCAGCAATGCAGATAGTGATTAAGACAACGGTCATTGTTGTGATGCTACCTGACCATGTGGTTCAGAAGCCTTTGGAACTGATTTGAGGGAGAAGTTTAGAAAGATTTGGAGATAATGGCTAGAGAAGCTGTTTCAGAATACTGCAAGCTAAACTTGATTCTGCTTGGAGACAAGACCAGAATGTGGATAGAAATGCAGATGATAAAGACCAGGATTAAGAGATTTCAGTTGGGAATAAGAACTTCATTAGTAGCTGGGCTGTAGGCTATGTGTGTTACACTCTGGTGGAAAATTTGTCTACATTTTGCTAATGTGCCAAGACTTTATGGGATTAAGGGTGGAAGACTAATCTGGAAGAGGAAATTTCACGACAGCCCAAATGTTGAGGCTGTGGCAGGGATATTATTGGGAGCTTTTATTATTGGCCTATTTATGTTGAGAAGCTTAGTGGTTTAAAAAGTTTTGAGTTTTGCCAAAAAGGAAGCTCCTACAAAGCCAGGGCCTGTAAAGTTGGAGCGGATGAGAGCTTGTTTGCTAAAAAGATGAAAAAGAAGACAAATATTCCATATCAGGACAATAGGAAGGATGCCTTAAGAGCGTGTGGGAAACCAGTAAGTCCCTAACAAGTTCAAATTTGAAAAATGAAAGACTTTGCTTTGAGCAGAGAGCCCCAGGGCCCTGTGCTCAAGAATGTCTACTTGGTTCCATGCGATTGAGTTCATAGTGCTCAGCCATCTAGGCATTTGGATACCTCTGTGGCCATGATACAAGGGAGCCTGGCTACTGGTCAACCTGGCAACAGACCTTGGTGTCATCTACATGATGCTGGTTTTACTGGCATACAGAAGGCAAGAGTTCTGGGGTCACAGAGGATTTTACCCAGATTTCAAAAGGCTTAGGAGGCCAAGAAGCATGCCTCTGAAAAGCAGTGTATACAGCTGTAGAAGTAAAGCTGAAAGTGCAGTGGAGAAGGGGGAGAAGCCAAGAACATGGAAGGTCTGAGGAAAGCTGCAAAGCATGAGCAAAGCCAGCCCAAAAGAGAAGCCATGAGAGCTACAACTACCAGCAATGCTGTGGGAGTGATCCAAGTCCTTTAAGGAGTTCACACCTCACCACAGCTTATCTTGGTACTGGACACAGAACTATGGGATTTAATGTTTTCCCAGGTGGGTTTTGATCTTGCTTTGGTCCTCCCTATTTCTCCCTTTTGGAATGGGAATGTTTATCCTGTACCAGTATAGATGTTTGACTTTCTTTTTTATTTTTACACATGTTCACAGCTAAGAGTTTGCCTTGTCTCAGAGGAGACTTGGACTTTTCAGCAATGCTAACATTGTTAGGATTTTGGAAACTTTTAGAGATGGGCTAAATGCATTTTGCATAAGAGATGTACACACATGTTTTGGGAGCCAGGGGCAGAACATTGTGGTTTAGATCTAAGATGGCCCACAAAGCCTCATGTGTTCCGAAGATGATTAGATTATGAGGGTGGTATAGCTGGCTTGGTGCTGGCAGGGTATTTCCAGAGAAGACATTGCTGGGGGCATGGTCTGGAAGGGCCTATTTCCCTTTCCAACTCCTCCTTTGACTGTCTGTGTTTCCTGGCTGCCATAATGGTGCAGATTTTCCTCCATCTTGCCAGTGTGCTATGCCATCATGCCTCGGAGCCAGCCAACTATAGTCTGAAACATGAGCCAAAATAAACTCTCCTCCTCACTCTTTTAAATTCTGGGTGTCAGGCATTTTGTCCCAGCAATGAGAAAAGTGACTAAGATACTCTCTGTGTGTGCTCTTTGCTAAAGTGTTTAAGTCTTTTGCTCATTTTTAAAAGCTGAGTTGTATGTTTTCTTTCTATTGAGCTTTGAGAGTTCTTCATATATTCTGAATACAAGTCTTTTGCCAGATACATGGTTTGCAAATATCTTTTTTCTAGGTGTACTTATCTTGTACTTGTACATAATCTTTTGCAGGCTAAAAGCTTTGTTTTGTTTTTGTCTATGTTGCTGGCATTTTGCTGTTGTTCTTTCTTTTTAAAATTCTCTTTAAAATAAAAACTACTAATTTTGAGGAAGTAAAATTTATTAATTTTTTTCTTTTGTAAATCATGTTTTCAGTGTCACATCTAGGAATGATTTACCTAATCATATATCATGAAGATATTCTCCTATGTTTTCATCTATAAGTTTTATAGGTAGATGTTTTAAATTTAGATCAATTGCGCCTTCTGTGTTAGTAGTAGTTGAATTTTTGCATTGAGTTGTTAATGATATTTCTTTAGTAGCCTTTTAACATTTATAGGACTTGTGATATTCTCTGTTTCATTCTGTTGTTGGTGATGTGTGTTGTTCCCCTTTGCTTTGTCAGTATTGCTGGAAGTTTACCAATTTTGACTTTTTTTTTTTTAACACACTAACTTCTGGCTTCATTGATTCCTCTATTTTTTTCCAATTTCCATTTGTTTTGTTTTGTTTCATTGAGATAAGATCTTGGTGCATTCCTTAGGTTGGTCTCAAGCTCTGGGGCTCAAACAATCTTTTCGCTTCTGCCTCCAAAATAGTTGGGTCAACAGGCATGTATAACCACATCTGGATCCATTCTCTGTTTAATCTATTTCTCTTCTTCTTTATCTGCTGTGTTTTTTCTGGTGGCTTTGGGCTCATTTTGCTCCCCTTTTTGTATTTTCAGAGGTGAAATTTGAAATAACTGATTTGAGAAATTTCTTCTTCTTTTATACTAGCATTTAACACTATAAATTTCCTTCTAAGTACTTCAATTTTATCCCTCAACTTTGACCGTGGAATTTTCATTTTTGTTCTGTTCAAAGTCTTTTCTAATTTTCTTGAGGCTTCTTTGATCCATGAATTATTTAGGAGTATGTTGTTTAACTTCCAAGTGTTTGAAAACTTCCCCATTATCTTTCTGTTTATTGATTTCCAGGTCGATTTCATTACAGTTAGAAAATACATCCTGTATGAATTCAATTTTAAATTTGCCAAGATTTGTTTCGTGATGTGAGGATGTGGTCTGTTTTGGTGAATGTTCAATGAGTGATGAAAAAATATGATTTTGTGGTTGTTGAGAGAATTACGAAAAATTAGATCTAGTTACTGATGGTATGGCTCAATTCTTCTGTGTTCTTATTAATTCTTGAGTACTTATTCTAGATATTGCTGAGAGAGGAGCCTTGAAGTGTTTTCTACTATAATCATGTGTTTAATGATTTTTCCTTTCAGTTCTATGTACCTTTGCTTCATGTATTTTGAAGTTCTATTGTTAGGTGCATATATATTTAGGATTGTTGCATCTTGGTAAATAAAATTTTTAATCACTATGTAATGACTCTGTTTATTCCTGGTATTTTCTTTGTCTTGAAGTCCACTTTTGGTGGAATGAATATATTTTCTCTCTCTCTAGTACTTTTTTAAAAAATGCTGTTGGTACTGGGGATTGAACTCAGGGGCCTCCACAAGGAGCTACATCTCTGGCCCATTTTTATTCTGAGACAAGATCTTGCTAAGTTCCCCACCTGGGCTTGAACTTGTGATGCTATGATTTTTAAAATGACTGTATCTTGGTGTTTTGTTGTCTACTTAATATTGCCAAACAGTCAAAATGAAAATGCACACGTCACTTTTTTAAATCTGATGGGTAGGGTGCAGGGCTCTGAGTCCCAGCCCCTTCCTAACTTGTACCTAGATTTTGGACCTGCTGCCACAGACCAGCTTTAAAGGGGTCTAGTTTGTGGCCAGCAACTCCAGGTCCAGGTGGGAGTTTGGAGTTGGGGGCATCTTAGTTCTGCTGTGGGTTCCTGATCAGTCACGGCTTCGCCAGCCAGACAAATTCCCTGAACTTGAATAAGAAAGCAAGAACCTGGGATTAATCACATAAACATTTATTGCCAAATTACTGCATAAGGGGAGACATGAAAGATGATGAAGGTGAGCAGCGGATAAGCAAGAGCCACTGTGATGGCCGATGGAGCAGGGCAGTAGCTATGGTCCTTAGGGAAGAACAGCTGCAGCAGTTGGTGGTCTCTTGTCCCGATCTGGTTCTTCAAGGAGTCAGATGCAGGGACATTCAAAGCAGGAGTTTCAGGTATGAGTGCCCAGCAGAGGCAGCGTTAGTACGGGTTCACTCCCAACAGCTTCTTTTGGTTGGTTTCTTTTCTAAGGGAGGGCAGGACAACACAACCCTGAATGGGAGAGAGAGAGGGCAGATTCCCTCCCCCAAGGCAGCTCAGTAGCCAGATACAACACCAGTTACACAATACCTGATATAATGACCCCTAAAGCCTAGTGCAGATGAGGATTTCCCTGGCTCCTTGGAGTCTTTGGCTGGGGGCCTTTGGTTGGGAACAGGGGCTCTCTGGGCTCAGGTAGAAAGACAGGCATGAGGCTACTTGGGACGCCTGTAACGGGCCCCATTTTCACGCTGAGCTATGCGTTCTGCGTTCCTGTCTCCTCTGAACAACCTTGCTGCCCCAAACACACAAGGACTCACCTCTTTAGTGGAAAATCTTCTCCAGCAGTACAGACACAGAGGGGCTAGAGATGCCAGAAGCAGCAGGACCCAGACACCCAAGAGCATGGACTGCAGGCTTATGATCAGGCCCTGGGGACAAAGGGGCAAGGTCACGGGCACCAGAGCAGTGGTCACTTTTGTGCCCCTTCCAATGCTCCCCACTGACGTGGGACATTGTCCACCCTTCATCCCTAAGGCTGTGGCTTCTGGAGGGGGACCACTGTGCCCATTGTGTAGAATATAGCACCCTGTGCTTATCTGCAGAGATAGGTTGACTTGACTCCTCAATGGCTTCCTGGGCTAGAGAGGATCAAGGACTTCAGTGTTTGTCTTTCCTACTCATCTCTGACACCTCAACTGCAGGCGCTGTTTCTGCCGTGCTCAGAGCTGCAGCTTTAGTGACAGTCATCAGCCTGGGTGAGCACTAGGGGCACCCGTTCTGATGGAGAGCTTTCCTCTTATCTGTCTCGGCCCCGCTCCCACTGTGTGCCCCACCCTTTCCCCTGCCCACATACCTTCAGCATGTTCACCTGGGAGCTGCACAGGTGTAGCCTCTCAGGACTCACGGTAGTGGGGAGCATGGTGGGCCAGCTCCTCGAGCGGTCTTGACAGATGTAATACGTGTCTATATTGTAGCCGTACTGCTGGAAGTTATCAGCTCCAATCACGATGGCGGCAATGGCCGTGCAGAAAGCTGCCAATGTGAGAAGGGTCCTCAGCAGGGCCTGGAGGGGAGGAGGCAGAGGGAGAACGTAGTGATTCAGTCTTTTCCAAGAGCCTGGACTTGGGCAAAGAGGGCAATGTCTGAGGGAACCCACGTGAGACCCCAGGTCTGAGCCTGGTTTCTTCCCTCACCCGCTCAGAACTCACCCAACAGATCCCACCCCGTCTGTCATACACAAAGCCAGCAGCTCCAGCCAGCACAGCCTGGAGAGAGACAGAGACAGGAGTAGGGTTAGCACAGAAACGTCAAGTCCCCCCCAATCACCTGCCTCTGTTTCCCCTACGGCTCCTTCCAGCCACGTGATGACTCTCCCCAGCACACTCAGGTGTGCCCTGGGTTTTGTGTTTTGTTGTTTGTGGTAAAATAACGGTGGAGAGTGCTGAGCCTGGGCCAAACTCCCAAGGCTGCAGGGTGCTGTTTTAGCTGCATCCCAAAGTGCTTGTGGTCAAGCTGGGTGTGAGCCTGCCCTCCCTTCTCCAAAACCTTTTCAAGCAATAGGGGGTACTTCATGAAAGTTGTAAGGGTTGGGGAGGTGGCGAAGGATCCTGTGGAAATCCCGGGTGGTTGGAGAACCTCTCAGTACAAGATGAGTCTTTGGGCGGCCTCAGGTCCAGATATCTGTCCTAATAGCTCCAGGGCTGTCTGGCCAGGCTTGAAGAACAGGAAGTCTGGGGTATTTCAGTGAGCAGATGGATCGAAATCTTATTTGGGTGTCTGTAACTGATCTGTATGTCTCTGCGGGGGATGGATGAGGAAGGCTCCTTTTGTCCCTTCTGCAATACATGCAGGTATATTTTGCTGCTCTGAGATTGTGGGCGTGTCCAAGGGTCCCCCAGTCCCACCATGAACAGGTTTTCATGTACTCACTTGTATTCATCTCTACTCCCACCGGATGTACAGAGGACAAGGGGAGAACCCGGAGGTGGTATTTCTTCTCTGGCACGCTGTCTCCCCATGCTCTCACCCTCACCCCTGGGCAGTGTCTGGTGGTGAATGGGTCCTCAGACCCTTGGGTGGTGACTGCTGTTGACAGTGGGGAGTGGAAGCTAGCCCGGGGTGGCAGGGGGAGGCAGGCAGGGCACCAGAGAGCTGACCCTGTGACTTTGGACATGTCACCATCCTTGGCTGTTTTCTTATCTACACAAGCAAAGAGGCGGCCTACATCATTAGTCTTTCTCTAGCTGCTAATGCTCCACGGCATCACATGGATGGTTGTGATGTCCAGGCAACACTGAAGGCAGCATCCTTGTCCCCTCTGACAGGAGGGTGACAGTCAGCTGCCACACTCACCACGGCCCCAGTCCAGAAGGCGGCTCCTGAGTCGCGCAGTGTGTAGGAATTGCAGAGGTAGAGGAGTCCTCCCAGGACCCCGCTCAGGAGCCCCAGCATGATCTGCACCACCTGAAAGGGGCAGGAGCCAAGAACTGGCCTGGATGCCTGGGCACAGAGCATCCGTTCCCACCTCCCTGGGGTGTTAGGGTGGCTTGAGAACCTGCCACACTCTGGCTATACTGGATAGAACAGAGAGAGAGAGAGAGAGAGAGAGAGAGAGAGAGAGAGAGAGAACTATTTAGAGAGGCTGGTGGAGAGTATGTGGCCTGAAGAAGAGGAGCCTTCCCATGGCCTGACACGAGGAATGGAGTCCCTCCCTGGCTCCACAAGGCAAGCAGCCCTCTCACCCAGGAGGCCACCAACAGCCGGCTGCTGCCCAAGATCCGGCTGGTGGCATCGGTGGCTGTGGCTGGGAGGCGCAGCAGGGAGCATCCGGTCAGCAGGATCTTGGCCAGCCCTGACTCCTCGTGGATGTGCACATTGATGTGGGTGGTCTGTGGGGCCTCGGGGGCCACCTCGCTGCTGTCTACTGTCCCTGTATCCATGGACGTCCGTCTGAGGGACACGAGGACTAGGGAGGCAAGGTGGACAGATTTCCACAAGTTCGTTAGAATTGGGAGTTCAGGGGCGGGGGCTCAGGGACACCGAGTGGCTCCTCCTGGTCACAGAGCTGCTCCCTCTTGAGGGGGGTACAGGACAGCTTGTCCCTGCTGGGGCTCCCCCATCACCCCAGGCTTTGGTCGTCTCAGGCCCTGGTGTCCGGATGGAGCAGTGCCCGCACACCTCGCCTCTCCACCCCACCACTGACCCTGGGTCTTCCTGTCTCTCTTCTCCAGAGCCCTGTGAGCCCAGAACCTGACCCCTTCCCACAACACCCTGGCTGCCCGTTGAGCTTCTATTGGCAGCTGTGAGGGGCAGAGGCAGCCTCACCTTCTCCAGGAGCAGGGAACTGAGCACCGCGGGGATGGCCCGAGGAGTGAGGAGGAATTGGCAGAGGGAGCGGCCTGGCTGGAAGAGGAAGCTGACAGCAGAGGGAGGGGAAGTTGAGGGGTAAGGGGACTTTCACCCTTCCCAGTAGACAGCTGGGATGGAGGGGTTCCTCTAGGGCTTTCCAGCCACAGTAGGGCCCCTGGACACTGGGGAGCCAGAGAGGAAACGGGGGTTGGACTGTGGGGGTGTCGGCCACACAATTGCCCAGCCAGGGCTTTCCTAGCAAATGTGGGTCCGTGCTGTGAATGCGTGTGGTTCCAGTGTATGTTATCTGAGTAGGGGTGTGTGTGTGTTTGTGCACGTGTGTGTGTATGTGTGTGCGCGCGCACGCCCATTCATGAGCCGGCCTGATCCTCTGCTCTCCATGGAACCCCCCTAGCAGGGCCCCTTGGTCCTAGCTGCTTGCAGGGAAGCAGTGAGGCCGGGCCTCACCCTCTTCTCCTCATCCCTTCTTCCTGCTCTCCCCACTCCAGGCTGGCAGTCCTCTGCTCCAAATCAACGCCTCCCAGCCCTGCTCTGCTCTGGCTCCTGGAGGACAGCAGGTGAGGCAGGGCTGCCACCCCCAGGCGGGCCCTCCCCAGGAGTCTCTCTGGCTGTGAGCCCTAAGCCCCTCCGTGCCCAGGATGTCCTTCTTCCTCTATTCTGCTCTCCCGTAGGACTCCAGGGAAGAAGCATTAGAGAAGCTGCTGAGAAGACAGCTGAAACCAGTTTCTAGTAAGGAGATAACACTGGCTGTGGGTCTTGTTCAGAGAGCAGAGGATGGGATCCTAGCGATGGGGTTGGGGAAGGCTCCGCTCTGGGTGGGAAGGATGGGTGGGGTTCCAAGCCCTGAGGTAGCAATGCTGTGGCCTGGGGACAGCAGGAGTGCTCCTTCCCCAGGTCCAGCACCGGGAGGAGGGGCAAAGCAGAGTCCGGGACAGCAGGACTGAGCCTACCACCTGGAGGAGAGTGGAGGCCAGGGAGGTCTGCTCTTGGCTTCAGATCCTGCCCTTAGGAGGCACAGGGGGTGGAATGGGCCGCGGTGGTGGTGTTGCCTAGGGGGTCTGGGAGACCTGAGGCCCAAAGGACACCAGAGAACCGCGCCTTTCAGGTGGCTCTTGGGTCCCCATGGGAAGATCTGGAATCTAGGGTGGGTGTCCCTTTGCTAGGCCCACTGAATCCCAATCTCCTGCAGACTTGCCAAAAGCCTGACCTTTGAACTCAAAGGAGGCCAGGTAGGTGAAAGAGGGAGACTGCTCTGAAAGGTCGTCAGAGAACAAAGGAGAAATGCTATTAGAATGGCTATCAATACAGGGTTTAAGCGGCGATACTTAGGCAGGATACACGTTAGAACTGCCTCTGTGAGCTGTCTGTTGGAGCCAGATAAGTCGATTCTCAAGTGTACGTGGAGAAGTAATCCAGCAAAAATGGCTATAACAGTTTTGAAAAAAAAGTACAAGGGCGCCAAGGAGCAGCCCAATTAGATATTAGATTCTACACTAATTAAAACTGTAATATTGAGGCGTAATGCACCACAGCCATGCCAGTGGGCAGAACAGAAAGGCTGGAGTAGACTGAAATCCCCGTGGGAGCACCCTGTTTGCTCAGGAGAGCATTTTAAATCAGTGAAAGGAGACATCTGTCACAGTGGAAGTGATCCTGCAGAAATTCACTCTCTGAACCACAACAGAAACTTGGATCTATGTCTTCTGGGTTATGACAGGAATTCCAGAGGGATAGACATTAAAAATGAAAACAGAAAGCGTGAAACCACGTAGAAGAAAACATGGGTGAATTGGTATAAGCTGGAAGTGGGGACGTCCTTCTAAAGTGGGAAATAAAACCTTTCTAGCATAAACGAGAAAGAACTTCTCTAAGCATAAGCTATACTTTTTAGAATAAATACTGTACAAAAACACAAGCAAAGTCAAAATATAAATCACAGTTGTGAAGAAATATTCAGAACTCATGTAAATGGTAATTTTTTGACTATACAAAGCAGTTCTGTAAGGAACAACATAAAACAGGAACGACATAGGATATGAAAGAAGAGCTTGACAAAGAAAAATAAATAAATAAAAATGGCTTTTCACATGTGAAAAGATGATCAACTTTATGGTAATAATTGAAACTATGAAACTATTGATAATAATTGAAACTGCTGCTTTTTTTTTTTTTTTGAGACAGGGTCTCACAATGCAGTTCAGGCTGAGCTCACTTTGTGGTCCAGGCTGGTCTCGAACTTGCAACAGTCTTCCTGCCTCAGCCTCCCAAGTGCTGGGATTACAGGCGTGCACCATCACGCCCAGCCATGAGACCATTGCTCGAAACTATGCTGAACTAGTTATAGCAGGGAGCTCAATAATTACCTCCAGCCAGTTGGGGATTTACTGTGGTGAGCCCTCTGGGAAATGTTTACAACAGACAAATATTTTATATCTTGATTGTAGCTGTAGTTGCATAAGGGTATAAATCTGTCAAAACTTACTGAGAAAGAAAAACAAAAAAACCTTATTGAGATAAGAATTTCAAATAGAGCATTTTATTGCACAAAGTTGACTAAAACTGGTTAAAGTCTGTTAAGGGCAGATCAGTTAAATAAATCATGATACATTCATGTACTGGAAAAAATGCAGCAATGCAAATGAGTAGAGAAGGTTCTTATGGGCTGTGGTTGGGCTACTTCTTGAAACGGGTGGTTCTGAGACCACAACACAGTGCAGAACTTCGTGCAGCAGGTGTAGTACACGTAGTTCATTTGTGGGGAAGGGCGTGCAAAAATGTTATGGGAGGGCATGTAAGAACTTGATCATGTTGGCATCTCTCTAGAATCTTCTGAACATTTTTACTAGTGAGAAAATGGTGTGTAATATATAGAGAGTCCACCAAAAATGTGTACACACTTCTGCAGTTTGCCATACTAATAAATGTCTGGAAGCTGATGGCCACCACTTTGAGCATCTCTTGTAATTGTGGAGGCCAAAGGTAACTTGTATGAATCTCATGATGTCTCAGTAAATTTAGTATTAAAATATTTGTGCAAGTTCTTCTTTCCCTGATGTATACATCTTTTGCGGGGGGACAGCGGGAGTGCTTATATATAATGTCAGATTTCTTGCTTTGCCCCACTCTGGACTCTAGACAAACTGTATCATATCATTTTGGGAAGGCATCCAAGAACTCATGTGGCAAAAAGCTCTGGATGGAACTTGGATTTGCATCCTGAATTAGGGCCACTGGGACATGGATGTCTGCATTGGGAAGACCCCTTAGACCAGGACAAGGAGACTGACTCCTTCCCTTGGCCCTGTGCACGCTTCTTTTTACCTTACCTGCTCTCAGACTCATTAACTCTGCCCATCCTCTCCCCTGCAGGTAGAATGGCCCAAAACACCGTGACTGTGAACGGAGTCAATGTGGCCTCTACATCGTCTCCGCCCACTCACATCAACATCCACATCTACCAGGAGTCAGCTTTGGCACAGCTGCTGAAGGCAGCGGGTTCCCTGAAGCAGTTTCTTTCTCAGCCTCGGGACACTGGGCCTTCCAAGGCCAGAACAAGCAATGGGCAGCTGGTTCTAGGGGTAAGGAGTGAGCAGGTGGTGGCCGAGGGCAGTTGATGAGGTGACACAGAGGGTAGAGCCCTTCTTTTCTGTTAAAAGAAATTTGAAAAATTTAAAATCTTTATTAGTGTATGTTGATTACATTCATCATAGGGAGCTGGTGCAAGTGCGTAACATATTTTAGTTCTTTTTATGGCCCCTTCTCCTCCTCTTCCTCCCTGTCCTACCATCACTTGGTCTCCTTCCTGTTTGAAGTTTCCTATCATCTTTTACTTTGTTTCCTATCATCTTTTACCTTGCTCTTTAATTTACTTATACTTTGGTTTTCTCATATAAGAGAAACCATGCGATCAATATTTAAGCTCATGTGTCTGATTTATTGACATTATGGTCTCAAGGTGCTTGGGTTTTATGACAAATCCTCCCTTTCAATAGGACACAAAAAGGAAAGTGGGTTGAATTCCCATGAAGAGGGACATCATATGTTAGAAAAAGTTTTGGAACTTTGCCTGCAGGGCTTGGATGGAAAGAAACAGTCCACCTCTACTTGGTACAGAGGGTGCAGTCCCAGGCAAACTTGTGGAGCGGGTAGAAGAATCTCTTAGTTCAAGGGATTGGCTGAGCCCAGGGAGACTGAGGCTGCTGGTGCAAGGCAACTTGCTAGGCTCTTCTGGTCAGACTACCCTGACAAGCATTCCATTTCCACCCGAAGGGGAGACACAGAATGAGGAGAATTGAGACTAGATCAGCAAGAATCGCACCTGACGTCCTGGTAGGCAGTGTTGGGATGGACGCTGGTGGAGGAGTGGATTCAAGCAGACTGTGGTCAGGAATGAAAGAAAAGGAATTTCAGGTTACAGAGGAAATGCAAAGGCAGAGAGGAGGAAAGGCGCAGAGGCTGGAGAGCATCAGGCAAGTTTGTAACAGCAGAGAGTAAAGAGAATGCGGCTCAGAGCTGGGGAAGGGAGCCTTGGAGGAGCCTGTCCTGAGTCAGCATCTGTGGCAGGAGGGCTGTGCGTGGATTCCCAGCAGGAACCTGGGCTCCCGCTGCCTCAGAGCTGGAGGTGTCCAGGTAGGAAGTGGGGGAGGTCTGCATTTGTGTAGACAGAGCTGAAGTGGTGAGGGAAAGCGGGAGTTGAAATCCTTTGTGGATAATGTCTCCATGACTTGGGTGCAAAAGGGTTTGGGGTGTGAGAAGAGATAAACCCAAGAACGTGCAGAGGCTTGGAGTGTGCGTGATCAGGAGATGCAAGCCCTGGGGGATGGGAAAGGGGACTTACGGATGCCCAATCTCGGGTGATACCCAGGAGCCTCTGTGAGTGAGGTTTTCCAGGAGGCACACACAGAGTTAGGGGAGCAGATGGTTTATCGAAGGGCAACACATGTGATATGAGAAAAGAGGGGACAGGCTAAGGCTGGGGGTTCCTGTGGGTGTCCCACAGTTCCACAATGGGAGGCTGTGACGCTTGAGCAGTCTTGCTCAATCACTGGCTTGGGGACCATCACATCTTTTCTCAGCTGAAAGACAAGGTCCCCCTTGCTGGAAACGGGGTGGGGGATGCCAATGGCACATCTTTATGTCTACAACAAAACCCTCCAAATTATATATTAGAGCTTGAAGAGATATATCAGAGCCGGAAGCTGAGGGTAGATGGCGGGTTTGGACAGAACGATGAGATTCCTAAGGGAGGATGAGGAGAAGTGGAAATGACCTGGTGGGATCATCATAAAGTATTTCTTTTAGGGAAAGAGAACAAAGGATAAAAAGCCAAGCCTGTAAGAGGGATAAAGGGAGAACCAGGCCAGTGCAGCTTGAAGGATAGTAAGGAAATGGAACCTTCTGGAATCTGAACTGCAGGAAGTCCAGGGCGGAGGAAAAGCCAAAGAGATAACAGCTGGGCTATTGATTTTCACCCTGTCTCGCAGGTGATGCAGATAGTGCTGGGGGTTGTGAGCTGTGCTCTTGGAGTGAGTCTCTGCTTTGGGCCTAGGACTGAGCTGCGTGCCTTGGGCTGTGCCTTCTGGGCTGGGTCTGTGGTGAGTAGGGATGGGCTGGGGGCTCAGTGGGAGGCAGAAGGTGATGGGTAAAGAGAAAGTTCCTTTGGCTCTAGGTAGATGCTTGGGGGAAGCCACCGAAAACCAGAGTCCACATGCCCCGCTTTCCATGAGGTAGCTGCCCTAAGGCTGGGACAAACCCTCTCCCACCTATTTCTTCTGTCACAAGGCCAGGGAGGATGGGCAGCGTAACTGCAGATAAACATGCATTTATCCATATGCATGCGAGGTTTCTTTGCTAGTCTCTTGAATCATGCCTCCCTCTGGCTTTTATGGGAGCTGTGAGTGGAAGGATGATGGGTGATCACTCAGGAGAGCAAATCAGAAGACTGTTTTTGGGGTCTTCTCTTTCCAGGCAATCGCAGCAGGAGCAGGGGCTATTGTCCATGAGAAACGCCGGGGGAAACTTTCAGTGAGTCTTGGGCATCCTGTCTCCCTGACCTTGTCTTTCAAACCCTTCCAATGGCTAACGTTTCCACTCAGTCTTCTGTCTCCTGTCCTTGGGTCCTCAATATCCTCAGCTCTTTCCTGGGAGGTGGCGAGGGTTTCCAGCAATAGGAACTGGGGAAGAAGAGACGGATTTGAGGGTGGTACTCACATGGCTCTGCCACTGATGAATGGAACCTGTGTCTTGGATCTCTCTTTTCTAGGGCTGTGTGTCAGGTCTGCTCACTCTGGCTGGCATTGTTGCTGCTGTGGCTGCAGTTGTCTTTTCTGTGAGGAGCTTAATCTGGCAAAACGACGATTTAAACTATGCGCAATTCATCTCCGTGTGTGGTAGTTTAGGCCCTGTTGCCGCAAGCACTGAGTACAGATGGAGGAATGACTACTCAGGCTGGAGCAGAGAGAACTGCAGACACTATATGAGAATGACCCTGGTGAGAAAGAAGAATCCAGTCTTCCTAGACACTCCTTTGCTCCCAAGGAATCAGGCCACTGGAGGGTAGAGAGGTCGGCTCCTTGCAGTTGGACCTCACCCTAGATTTTAGCTTAAACAGCAGGCATTTCTCAGATTACAATAGCTTCACCGGGCTCAGGGTTTTATTGCCATGGCAACAAGGTGGGAGGCACCGTGAGCATTTGAATAGGTAAGAAGTGGAAGCTGCTAAGCCAGTTCAGGGCTGCCCCACCCCGCATGGTGCCACTTTATTGCCCAAAGTAGGTATGCACAGTATGAGCAGAATCTGAAGGAGCTGACTCTTGGTTGTATCTTTTCTCATCTTTTATCCCCAGAATCTCTTCATGGGATTCTGTATCCTGCTCATAGTGATCTGTATCCTGAATATCACTGTGTCTCTGGCCTCCCTGGGATTGCATCTTCGAAGCATGTGTGGTCAGAACTCCCAGATCCTGGTGAGTTGTCCAAAGGCACATGGGGGAGTGTGAGTCTGAGGAGGGAAGTGTGGGAACTGGGAGGAACCCTGGAGCCAGGAGCCCCCTCACCCGAAGTCAGGCCTGTCCCTCTCAGGCCCTTCCTTTGCTGTCTGGGGAATGTGTCCTGCCTTGTGTCTCCACATCCTCCTTCTCTCTAGTTCCCCGCTGTTTCCTCCATTCTGTCCCAGGCACTTGTCTAAGCACCCTTTCTCTGTCATCTTACCTTTTTTGCTAGATCCCTATGTCTGGGATCTTTTCTTTTCCCTCCTTCTTTCCTCTCCTGGTTTCAGGTTCTGAAGCAAACTGTGCCCTCATTCTTTCTGTCCCACTGGCTGCTCCTCCCTTGTTTTCCAGGTTGAGAGAGAGTCAGAGCAGAAGCTTCTGGGGGTGAATTCAGAGACTCCTCCCACTTCCAAAGAGGAGACCTTGACTGTCATCAACCTATGAGCAGCTGAAGACCCTGCCTAGGTTCCTGAATGTTCTGTCAGAGCAGCCTAGAGCCCACGGGGATGACAGGAACGGTCCCCAGAACTCCCCCTGGCCCTACGCCTCATGCTCGCCTTTGCCACAGCAACTGTTTGTCCTCTTTTCTCTCTCCCTGCCCTCACCCACCATTCCCTCTCCAGTGCCCTCTGTTCCAGAAGAGATACTGTCACATTTTCCACAAAGTTAATTAAACAGAAAAAAAAAAAGGAAGATAATTTTTCTCAGGAAGATGGGTTTTCCCTTTGTTTACACAAGTCATGTGCTGGGAATGGCCTTCCCTTGTGTGAGATGTGTGGCTTCCTTCTCTTCTAGAGTCTAGGGCCCACAAACCATCAGTTAGGAAAACTTGAGCCCCACACTACTGACAATCCCCATCCCCAGCCTCAGGAAAGAAGTTAGAGGTGCAAAGACAGTTAGAACAACTGAACCTCAACATTTATTTTACCCCAGCAATGGAGGAATGGGAGCCCCTCATTCTCTGCTGCATGGGCAAATGCAAATATAGTTGAGCCCAGAAGCCAAGACAGGTAATGTATGAAAAGATCGTATTCATCAGCTTTCCATTACTATAACGAACACCAGATACAGTCAATTTATAAAGAGAAAAGGTTTATTTTGACTTGTGGCTTTAGAGGTTTCAGTCCATGGTTTGTTGGCCTCATTGCTTTTAGGCCCATGGTGAGGGAACACATTAGGGCAGAAGCACATGGTCAAACAAAATCACTTACTTCATGAAGGGTGAGAAAAGGGGGAAGAAGAAGTGGCCAGCATTCCATTGTCCCTAAAAACCTCTCATCAGGTGCCACCTTCTACATGTTCCACTGCTTATTGGCTGTTATAAAGAAAATAAGTTCCTTAAGCTCAGGGGTCTGCTTCTGGGACCAGTGCACACATATAGGTCATTGCAGTACATTCTGCATTGCCCTGGGAATCAGTGTCACGGGACCAGCATGGAAATGGTGTCCTATGGCTCCTGTCATTGCTAAGTAATAAGTGGCTCTTCATTTCTGACTCAGGGGTTTTGTGGCTTCTACCAGCATCTATAAAACAGTAGCACTCCAACATGTTGATCCTTCATGGTGCCTATATCTGGCTATATATAAGGTTGAGGACACAGACAGATTTAAGACATGGTTGCTGACATCAAGGAGCTCACAATCTGACCAGCAGATGAGGCATAAACCCCTATCTCATCAGAAAAGAATATTACTTGATTGCCAGATTTGTGGTACAGCAGATGGCAAGGTGGTATGCTAAGGATTGTTGAATAACGACAGGGAACAGAAGAGGGAGAGTATGAAGGGGAACACCTGAGGGGAGGGGAGCTCTGAGGTTGCTGGTGGTGCATAAACACTTGTGGTCAGGGCTTGCATGCCTCAGTGGGCAAAGGGGATGGGACTAAGTGACTTGTCCACTCACCAGCCTGACTCCAAGAAACTGTGGCCAGGCAGTTGGGGGAGAATCCAACCCTCTGCTCAAAGTCCTTTCCCGATTTCCAGTTGAACAGCTCCTATGCAGGCCTCTGACGGCTGGGAGCACCTCCACACCTGCCTTGGCTGTAGGGCTGCTGTGTCTGGGTGCCCCACACAAATAGGTCCTGGGGCCAGTGTCACATGGTGCTGCTTGATTCCGCTCCCCTCTCCCTCTCTCTATATCTGACCTTCACTATATCTAGAAACTCTGTCACCCTCCAGTTAGGAGGCACCCTCACCCTCATCTGCACAGGTTGGTCCAAGGTAGTCTCTTCCACTATGATCTCTAGAGTTTCCAGTAGAACCTCTACCATCCCAGGCATTTCTAGTATAATTTCTAGCAAATCTCAGGCATTTCAGGATCATCCCGCTGGGCACTCAGATGATAACAGGAAAGAAGAGAGGCCTCTGGTAGTTTCAGTCTAAGATTTAGCCCAAACATCAGTGTCCCCCAAGGGTCAATCTAGGGTCCAACTACTTGGTCAAAAAAAGAAGGGGTATACTTGGGAAGCAGGAGCCAGTGCTGTCAATATTCCTACTGCACTGACGCAGGCTGTTGAGGTCCCCAACCTTCCTGAATGTCCTCTTTCTCCTGGAGCAGGCTCCTCCCTTTCTGACCCAAGACTTTGCCCTGCCTAGTTCCACCTAGAATAGGTGACCTTGCTACTGCAGAAGGGCAGTCTAAGAGCTGCCCCATTTCAAATTGGGCACATCTGTTCCTTGGAGCATCTCCAGAGCAGGTGAGGAGGAGGAGGGGTAGTGGCGGGCAGGAAGGATGAAGGTGTGTTAGAACCTCCCACCGCTCCTACAGTCATGAGGCCTCTTGGGGGTAGAGGAGAGGATTCTCCTGGAAGGTCACACCCAACCAAGGGATGGCACGATGCTGATCTCTCAGAACAGGTGGTGGTGGGGAATGAAGATATCATCGATTTTTGGGACCATAATCCTGTTTCTTCCTGGGTTGGGACTATGTCTTGTGCCGAGCCTCATGTGTGGTGTTAATCTATATTCACTCAATAAACAAATGCAATTTTCTTTCTTTTAGGGGGGTGGGGGCTAGGGTAAAGGATTTTTTTTCACTTCTAAATTCTGTAGAAGAAGGATTCTGGTGGTCCCAGTGCTTGCTGTTCACAGTGTGATTCATTGGCTTGTCACAGGAAATATTGGGAGCTTGCCAGAGAGAGAAAGTGTCCACTCCAAGCCAGACAGGCTGAAGAGAATTTGATTGTCTTGGAGCCCTAGGCGTCGTGTGCTTAGGAATTTTTAAAAATGCTCTGGTGTACACTTCTTGATGGCCTGAAGGAGAAAATAAAATTCAGATATGGAACTAGGTGCTTTGGGTTTAATCTCTGTTTTATTCCTTTTTACAATTTTCTCACTGTGGGCTTTTAGCAAGGACTTTCTGTGAGGCAAAACCCAAGCAGAGTTGAGCCCAGGGCGCTGGTCAAGAGGCTTTGCTTGCTCTTTTCTCATTCTGGCAAATGAATGTCAATTTTGTTTGGGTTGTTTTTGCACAAAATGCTTTATGTCAGATTCTAGCAACTTTTTTCCCCTGTGGAGTTTTGAAATTTGTGAGGGAAGACAGTCTCCTTTCCATCGGGCCTTCCTGCCCGTGTCCTCTGCGTTTGTCTACTCAGCTCTCTTCCCTTGTGAATAGCCTTGAAACTTCCTCCGAGTCTTTTTTAATCATCCACAGATGTTGCCAGCCCACCCTCACTTCTGTTTACTTCTAAAAGCCAACTGCTTGACTGTTTGCATAATTCCATCGTGGTGGTGAAACTGTATCCCCTGATGGAGATGACTTCGTGGCCCTTCACACAAATAATCACCAGCTTGTTTGTGTGTACTGTATTTATCGAAGGATTTAAAACCACTCAGAGCATAAACAGGAAATGATTTTTTTCCCTTCTAATCCCTGCTTTTAATTCTGTGTTGTTAACTTAACCACTTCCTTACTAGACCACGGTCAGATCAGGGCCAGATTCTAGACTCTGTAGCTGGTTCCTAAATGGCCTCCCGTTGGTGCTCTGGGCCCAGTCCTGCTCATTTAAAGAACTGCAGTCATCAGAGCTTGTCCCTGTGTCCCATCCCAGTAGATCTGGGACTCGAAGGAGGTGGGTGGGCTTGACCTCTTCCTCCCCATTCTGTCCCCACTATCTTTCCTCTCCACTGCAGATGGGACAGGGCAGAGGGCAGGGCAAGGCCGTGGGACTGGGGTGGAGTGGCGTTGGCGCTCCTGGCTCAGCCTCCATCCACCTGATGTTTGTGGTCGTTATTTATATGCAATGAGTGGTGGGCACTTCTGTACCTGTTGCTCTGTCTGGGAAGCACTTGGGAATTTCTCTGCCCTCCCCATGTTACCTGCTTGGGTCAGTCAGGAAAATTCCTGGAAAGTATGCAATATACCAAAGAGAGAAATATGCGATATTGGGAAAGGGAGAGCTTTCTTGTAGCAGGAATATATATACATATATATATATGTATTTTAACCATTTCTAACCCCCACAAGGCCCCCAGAATTGTCTTTGCAGAGGTTTCTGTCTGCAGAGAAGATCCCAGAACCTCAGATCCAAAGAAATGCTTGCAGAAAAACTGCATCTAAGTTTTAGGAAAGTTCTAACTTTTACCAAAAAAATTTTCATCTGAACTAGGAATGTTAGCTGCTACAGAGGCATTTTTGGGTAATCTCCTTTACTTATGGGTCAAAAATCCTCCATTCTACGCTCCCCCCATCCTCCTTCTCTCTCTTAGGTAAAGCTCTTCAGAGAAATGTGCAAGAAATTAGCCAAAACCTTGGAATCACCCTGATTTGTTCTTTTCAGATGACCTACAAGAGAATTGACCATTTAATAATAAATTATCCACCCAGAGGTGTTTGAATTTGTCATTTTTTTTTTTTTTTTGGACAAGTGCCATATGACCTCTACCTGAGCATGCTTAGGAACGTGCCGACCTTTGCATGGGAGGATGAGTCTCACCTAAACGAATAAGTGTAAGTGTCCCCAATAACAGACCCTTCTCTCTTTGTTCAGGGAGACCCTACTTTGTGAATTATCTCTGGTACTCTCTTTACTTGCTGTAAGTAATAACTCTGTCTTCACTTTTAATTTCCTGGTCATGCTTATTGGTTTTGTGTGCCCTGTTCGGCCAGTCCTTTTGTGTCTGGTAACCAGAAGAAGACATTATAGTGGCTCATTGGCACTGGGTGCTGCTAGGAGCCTGTTCAGGGTTCACCTCATTCAACTCCACTATCTGGTCCCAACTGCCTCATTGTTTAATGCTTCCTCTCCTTCCTGTATACCTGGCTCAAGAGGGCTTCCGTGTACAGTATGTGCAATTTCAGTTTCACAGTATTTTCCGGGAACACTGTAAGGTACCACTCACCTGCTTTGGGAAGTCTTTCGCAGAAAGCCTCATCTCTCTGGTTGCTTTTAAGATCTTCCCTTTGACTTTGGTATTTTGAAGACTTGCTTCAAAATATGTAGGTATGTGTTTGGCTTTATTGTCCTCTGAAAATTACTCCAGAGGAATTAGTGTAAAGGATTCCTAGTCTTGGTCTTCACATTTACCTTTTTAAATTCTGTACAACTCTCTGAATTATCTACTTGAATAATTGCTTTCCACATGCATGCCAATATTTCATCCTGAAACTCTGATTAGAAATAGGTTGGACCTTCTCAGTCTGCTTCCTTAGCTCCTAAATCTTGTTATTTTTTTTTCATTTTTCATCTCTTTATCTCTTC